CTCTCTCTCTCTCTCTCTCTCTCTCTCTCTCTCTCTCTCACACACACACACACACACACACACACACACACACACACACACACACACACACCATTATCACATATTGCGCAACCATATGCCAGACATGGACGTGTACGTCAAAAACGAAGTCCAATACAGTGGAGAACCGGCTCTGCACGCGCCCTGCCCGTCTGATGGCCCACACGCATTTTCACGCCCACACGCATTTCAACTTGAGTCCGGTACTTAAGACCGGACTCAAGCTGAGTTTGCGGACTCAGTTTTCCGCCTCAGTGCTTGTGCTTCAGTGTGACTTGCTGCGACATTGGGGCTCGTTTGACACTCCTATTGAAATCCTCGGTCGAAAGGAAAAATTCCTTTTGGTTCAAAAGGAAATTTGGGCCCTTCGTTCCACCTGTCCTCAGGGGCGTCGCCCAAGTCAAATGTGCTTGAGACCTTCAGCCAATAGGATGCCGCCACGATCCAGATTCTCGGTTGTAACGTCTCTCTACTCGTGTGCCCTCTCCTCTCCGTGAAACACGGATTCCCTTGGGCAAAAGGAAGAAATGGCTGGGGAATCCTCGGAGCCCAAGGAATTTCCTTCGGAGTGTTTTCACTTTGTCTTTTTCGACTGCATCCCCAAGGATAGGTGAACTTTACGCAACGGAGTGTCTAACGAGCCCAATTGTGTACGGAATCAAGATTCCGACGTTGTGACTTTGCGGCTTTGCCACTTTGCCACTTTGCCACTTTGTGTCCGTGTCTGTCGAGTCGTGTTGAGTCTGTGTCGAGTTGAGTGTGTGTGTGTGTGTGTGCTCTCACTCCCTCCCTCTCTCTTCCCCGACCTCGCTGCTCTGCCTCAGCCCCGTCACACATGCTCTCTCAAAAGAACGGAGGGGATTTGCTTTGAGGCCCAAGACAAGCCATGGAGAAATGATGTAAACGTCTGCCCAATCCAATAGATGGAGCCTCCCCCGGAATGTTAGTGGTGCCTGTTCTTACCAGCACCCCTAGCATCCACTTGGGTTCTTTTTTCTGGAAAACAAAACAAAACAAAAAAAAATGTCGACAAAATCAAGCAACAGCATTAGAGAGAATCAGCAAAACAAGAAGTGCCTAGCTCAGTTGGTACAACCCTGAACTGTTGAAATACATACTTCAAGCACCAGTACATGCCACATATTGGCCGCGGGCCCCTTTCGGGGGCCCCCGCCTCTTCATGTACTGTTGGTTCAAACCACCGGTACCTCACCCTGCTGTTTTTCTCTGACACGGTGCGTTAACACCCACATTGGACCGTTGTCGGGGGAGGAACGACTCGTACCCAGGTGAATAAAAAAGAAAAAAAGGAAAAATTCCAGAAACTAAAAACAAACCGAACAGCAAAAGAGACACGGCGGAAGAAAAAAAGGGGTAAACAAAATGAACAGGGAAGAAAGAGAGAGAAAGGGCACGATGGACGTGCAAAACGAGAATGAACTTTCCCGCATATCGGGGAAGATTCATACTCATTTTGCTGGTGTGTGTGTGTGTGTGTGTGTGTGTGAGAGAGAGAGAGAGAAGCCAGGTGATTTTGACGCGCCGGCCCCCTCTCTCTCTCTCTCCCTCTCTCTCTCTCTCCGTGCAGTTCTTATTTGCAAAACGGTAATGGCTCTTCCCGCATTGCAGGAAGATCCGTTCCCGTTTTCCAAATCGTGACTGCGCGGGGCGGGGACAGGAGGGGACGAACTCACAGAAGAGAGAGAGAGAGAGAGAGAGAGAGCCGGCACCTTGCGGGGAGTGCCACATCGAAATCGCCGGGTCTCTCTCTGTCTCTCTGTCTCTCTCTCTCTCTCTCTCTCTCTCTCTCTCTCTCTCTCTCTCTCGCAAGCGCACGCGTGCACGTTTTATTTCTTCGTTTTTCTTCGTTCTTTTTAGAATCGTTCTTTTCTTCTTCTTCTTCTTTCCTTTTTTTTTTTTGGATTTGAGAAATGAAAAATCCGCTAACGGTAGCTCTGGGTTTGGCGAGACTTGGCTTACCGGTCGCGTGAGGCTCGGACTTGAGAGCTGGGCGAGGTACTGGTGGTTTAAGTTCGAATCCAGATGCCTTCAGATGAAAAGAATAAGATCATTCCGAATTGCCTGGGGCCGATCAGCTCAATGATGATATCTAACTGCCGTCGCCCTTAAAAAAAAAAAGAAAAAAAAAGAAGTGGATGGCAACAGCTGCCATGGTGGTGCCTGTGCAGGCTGGCAGACAGCACAGCAACCATCAGAGAGATTTCATGGGGAAAACATTCACACATGCTATTGAGGAGAAAATGTGGACAAGCTAAGAAGCAAGTTTATCAGTGATGGCTATGACCCTAAGTTGAAGCTATGCATGCAGGGGTCACCTGCATAGCTTTAGGAGTAGTGGTAGGTCGTGAAAGGAAAAAGATATGTCCCATGGCATGGCAGAAGGCCAGTTAAAATATGTGAGGTGAGAGAAGATATATATAGCTGTCCCCTGAGGAGACGACAAGAAAAAAAAGAAAAAAGAGCGAGGACAGCCTGGATATACACGAGAAAGGCACAGAGCCCACTTAGGGCCTGATTTCGGCCTTTCTTTTCTAAGGTATTTTGTGTTTCTTGGTTTTTTCAGCGAAAAGCTCATGCTGTTCCAGGCTGCCTACAGGCTCCCGGGGTCCTCCTGGGATGCAATCAGGCCCCCGTACACACTTGCAGGGTCGTAATTGCATCCGATAGTGGCAGAGGCGGCAAAATCTGATAGATGCAAGTGGATCTGCTGCGCAGGTGGTACACCAAGATTCATACCAAGGTCAAGACCCTACGGTTGATATGTTTCATCTCTCTGTTCAAAGGCCCCAGTACACCTTCAAGGTCGTGGTTGCATCCGATATTGGCAGAGGTGGCAAAATCTGATAGCTGCAGGTGGATCTGGTGCGCAGGTGGTATTGATACCAAGGCCAAGACCCTACTATTGAGATCTTTTTTTTGTTCATTTTCTAAGATTGATATCATAGTCCTAGGTGTAATCTGCTGATGCAGGAGCGTGAGGCCTGGTAGAGAGATCTGGGGATGCTTTGGGGTGGGCATCCCACGGGACAACCAAGGGTTGCTGCTGGGACGACGCTGGTCGGAGCTGGGGTGAGTTCTGTTGCCCTGTAACCCAGCAAGATGTGGGGGTGTGAGACCTGGAAGAGCTCGGCAGGGAGTAAGACAGTGTTGGAGCTGTCTCTTATACACATCTAGATGTGTATAAGAGACAGGTGGGAAGCAACACCTGCTGGAAACCGGGTCCAGCGTCCCATTGATACAACCATATCCTCTCAATGTGGCACAAACTGGGAACCGGGCCCAGCGTCCCATACGAAAAGTCGTCAGAAAATTTCATGAAAGTGAGGCAAAAACTACTAGAAAAGTCCGATGTCTAGACATTCTTTTTTTGGCAACTCAAACAGCAATTAGTGGAAGTCCTTCAAATGCTCAGAACCCCTGGAAGCCCCCCTGGAAAAACACTAAAATTCTCTAATACTGTCTTCTTCCCTGCCGAGCTTTCCCAGGCCTCATACCCCCACCCTGCTAGGTTACAGGGCTACACAACTCGCCCCAGCTCCGGCCTGCGTTGTCCCGACAGCAACCCTTGGTTTTCCTTGGAATACCCGGCCCAAAGCATCCCCAGATCTCTCTACCAGGCCTCACGCTCCTGCTGTTTACAGGTTACAGGGTAGTCCCCCAGCACCGGCCAGCGTCGTTCTGGCATCGAAAACCAACAGATCCATGAGTAAACAGCATCCCCCCCGGGTCACAGAGCACAAGCTCCAGCACCGGCCAGAGTCGTCCCAGCACCGTCCTTCTAACCTCCTTACCCTGACTGACGACCCTCCTCTGTTGAGAACCCCTTTCTGCCTTCCATCCCCAATCCCAGCTTCTCCCCCCTAATTTTTAGAACAGACTTTTCTTCAGAAGCCCAATTTTGATGAATGGTAACAAAAAACGAATCTCAGGAATTCTATCTGAAACATGTTTTAGAACTTAAGAATTAAGGAGCTGCATGAGGAAGGAAGGTTGACTGGAGCGCTTAGCGCACGCGCGATCGCACCCTGGTACTGGCCCGCGCCGCGTCACCGGTTGACGCGTGTCGCGGCCCGACCCCCCGTTGGAGGGGGTTCCATGTTGCGCCCTGCAGCGGCCGCGGTTCCGACACGTGGCGATTTAATGCTGGCATATCCGGGGACACAGTGGAGTTCACCTGTGGTAGGATCGAAGTGTGCGTCTACGTGGAACGATCGCAAGCAAGTCAATCAGAGCTGGAAGACGGCACGGAGGAAGATACACCGCAGACATCGAAGCGACCTGGAACTGACGTGAAAACAGAGCGATGCAGATATAAGGAAGACTGTACTAGAAGGGCGACCCGAATTTGACGTGGGAACGGAGGACAGCGTAAAAAAAAAAAACACACGATAACTATCTATCAAATGAAGGGCGGGTTGGATCGTTGTAAAAGAGGATCGCAATACAAGTCACACGAAGCGGGGAGAGAAAGGGACGCATGGACACGACCGATCTAAACTAGGTGTTAAGACGGGAGGCAGCGAGGAGGGCGTAGGGAGAATCACACTGGAGATACCAGAGAGACGCGTGGATCGGG